AGGACTAGAGGCCCGATGCACAAAATTTGTGCAAGGGTCGCAGCCTCGCAGCCCTGGCTTTGTCCAGAAGGTCATCCGGATGGTCATCCAGACGGTCGTTCTGCTGTTTGGTCTAATTAGCATATTAGCTCTTTATTATATGGGATTATATAGGATAGCTAAGATCTGGAAACAGCCCAAGTGCCCATCAATAGATGAGAGGATAAAAAAGCTGTGGCAATGGAATACTATGCAGCTGCAAAAGAAAAGAAAGAGAAGAAGCTCTCACCCTTTGGAACAGAATGGAGGGACCTGGAGAGTGTTATGCTGAGTGAAATAAGCCAGTCGGAGAAAGACAAGTCTCACATGATCTCACTCATATGTGGAATCTAATGAACCAAATAAACTGATGAACAAAATTGGTCCAGAGGCATGGATGCATGGAGCAGACTGACAGATCTCAGAGGGGAGTGGGGTGGGGGAACTGGACCAAAGAACTTATATACAGATTAGTGGCCCGGTGCACGAAATTCATGTGGGGGGGGAGGGGTGTTCCTCAGCCCGGCCTGCACCCTTTCCAATCTGGGACCCCTCGGGGGATGTCTGACTGCCAGGGGATGCCCCTGTGGGATTGGGCCTAAACTGACAGGCTTCCCCCCCCCCCCCCGGCTGGCCTCATGGCCTCCAATTGCCCTCCCCAGCCAGAGGCCCTCTGTGGCTGGGCGCAGAACGCTTGCCTCATCACCGTCACGATGAAGCAAGCATTCTGCCAGGCCGCTCACACTGCCTGCTCTCAGTGGCGGTCCCCCAGGACGGGGGGACTCCAGTGGGGCTGAGAGGACTGGGTGCCGCCATCTTGTGGCTATGGGCGCTGCCATCTTTGTGGTGGAGTGATGGTCAATTTGCATATTCCCTCTTTATTAGATAGGATATGCATAACCCATGGGCACAGACAGAAGTGAGGGAAGACCTGGGGTGGGGCCGGGGCTGGGTAGAGGAGGCAAAGGGTAGGAAATGGGGGGGGGCATCTGTAATACTCTCAACAATAAAAACAAATCCTTACACCTGCTCCCCAAATGGGCATGGAAAGTGGCCCCATCCCCAGGTGACCTCTCCTCCTTGGAGAGCCACATGAGAAACCACAGGCTTTGCTGCTGCCGTTTATTGTTTTATCACATATTTACATTCCGACAGGAGACCTGTCCATCATCGCCAAGGCCCTCTGGTTCCCACTGGCTTCAGACACCTGGGCACAAGCTGGGGCTCGGGCGTCACACGTTCAGCAGGAGGGGCTGGTGCTCCTCATTGGCGGCCGCGCTGGGCGGGATCTCGTAGACGACACACAGGGAGGAGTAGAGGCAACCCAGGAAGGACACCAGGCTAGAGAAGTACATCACCCCATTGGCGCTGCCCACAGCCGAGGTCAGGGGCCCCAGCACCAGCGAGACCAGGATCTGGGCCAGGAAGTACTGGCAGCTGAGCAGCGAGATGTCCATGCCCATGCCACGCCGCGTGCCATCAGCGCTGGACCCTGAAAACTGACCCGGGGGAGGGGCACGTCAGCGGTGGGGCCAGGGACCCATGTCCCCTGCAGTCCATGCTGGACCCTGCAAACTGACCCGGGGGGGGGGCACGTCAGCAGTGGGGCCAGGGACCCACATCCCTGCAGTCCATGCTGGACCCTGCAAACTGACCGGGGGAGGGGCACGTCAGCGGTGGGGCCAGGGACCCACATCCCTGCAGTCCATGCTGGACCCTGCAACCTGACCCGGTGGGGGGCATGTCAGTGGCGGGGCCAGGGCACCACGTCCCTGCAGGCCCAGCACCCCCGCGCCCACGCACAGCGGGCTCACATTTTCCAGCGCCAACGTGCACAGGGAGTTCAGCCAAGAGTTTAATAATATTTGTGTTCAGAGAGATGACGGCAATGAAAAGAATCCATGACTAATGGGGCGGGACGGCCGCCTCCTCACAGGGAGGGTGGCACTTTCCCCGCCGGACTCTCTGGTCCTTTCTCCTCCCTCTCACCCGAGAGGAAGCAGCCTGCCCGCCCACTGGGCGCCGTGTCTGGACAAACTGCTGTCCACTGCCATGCCTGTCGCACACCCTGTCACAGCCCACAGCAGGGGGGCCTTTGGGCGGGTTCCCGAGGCTCTTGTGCCTCCAGCCTGGTCACATCATCTCCCTCCCCACCCACCGCACCATGTGGGCATGTGGTGGGCATGGTGGTGGGCACAGTGGTGAGCACGGTGGTGGGCACAGTGATGGGCACAATGATGGGCAAGGTGATGGGCACGGTGGTGGGCACGGTGATGGGCATGTGATGGGCACGGTGATGGGCATGTGATGGGCACAGTGGTGGGCAAGGTGATGGGCATGTGATGGGCATGGAAGTGGGCACGGTGATGGGCACGGAGGTGGGCACAGTGGAGGACCGTGTCTGTGAGCAGGGCTGCAGGGTGACGTGGCAGGAGGTTGTGTGGGTCCTAGCACAAGCCACCCCCACCCAGAGCCACTGATGCAGCAGGCGGATGCCGCCCCCACACGCCGCTGCGTGTGCACTGCCTGGATGCCGGCACGGCCTGGCCCTGTGTCCGGACAGAGGTGGCACCTCTGGGATGCTGCCACGCCCCTCCCTGGGGAAGGTGGCGTCCTCGTGGGCACTGCAAGGGGCTTGGGGAATGGGCACACGTGTGACCATATACAGCGTCAGGGCCGCGGGGAGGCCCCTGTAGTGGGGAGGCCTCACGTGAGCCCCCAGCCGACAGCCCGAGGGAGACAGTGCGAGTGGCCAGAAGGCCCTGCGGTCACCGCGGCCATGCCTTCCGGGCAGCTCTGCCCAAAGCCGGCTGGGGCAGCCTGTGGCCCGGGGTGTCCCCTTCTGGGGGGCAGGAGCCCTTCACCCAGACCCGGCACATCCACTCAGCCCAGCGCAGGGTCTCGGGGCTACAGGGAAGTGACCGGGGACGGAGGCGGGACAGCACCCGGGAGCAGGGTCCCTTGGGTGCTGCTGGCACGAGCCCTGCAGTGCTGGCAG